CGCTCTGCAAAAAATGCTTTTCTTTGTATTTTTCTCATGTTTCCAGTCCAAATATCTAAAAACTCTGAATTTTCGAAAGCAGTAAAATGACATAAGATATTGAGTCATTGTCGAGTGAGTTTTTGCATAAAAACAAGCTAAATGATCTGCCAATGGGGTAAGAAAAATAATCTAGTTTATGTTTGAATTTAAGGAGTAGTTCACTTGAAAAAAAACTTTTGCTGATAACTCACTCACCCACTTGTCATCCAATATCTCCATGTCATTCTTTCTTCAGTCGAAAAGAAATTAAGGTTTTTGATGAAAACAAACCAGGATTTTTCTCCATATAATGGACTTTAATGGGTACCAAACGGTTCAAGGTCCAAAAGATATTTTCAGTGCAAACTGTTCAAAGGGCTTTAAACGATTTCAGACGATGAATAAGGGTCTTATCAAGTGAAACGATCAGTCATTTAAAACAAAAAAAAACAAAAACAAAGTTTAAGTTTTATAAGCTCAAATGCACGCATTGCTCTGTTCTGTGATGCGCGTTCGTGACTCCTGTTCGAACTCGTTTATCAAAATGAACGAATCTTTTCCAGAGTCCTTTTCGTTCGTTGAATGAACCAAATGACGAAAAAAGATTTGTTCATTTTGATAAACAAGTTTGAACAGGAGAGTCACGAATGCGCATCACAGAACAGAGCAAGGCGTGCATTTGAGCTTATAAAACTTAAACTTTTTTTTTAATTGAGCGATCATTTCGCTTAATAAGACCCTTATTCATCGTCTGGAATCGTTTAAAGCCCTTTGAACAGTTTGCAGTTTGCACTGAAACTGTCTTTTGGACCTTGAACCGTTTGGACCCCATTGAAGTCCATTATATAATCCTGGAATGTAAATTATCAGCAAAAGTTTTTTTTAAAAAGTGAACTACTCCTTTAACACCATCTTTATCTTTCTTACCCCCTATCATTTGGGTGCTGGCCCTGCTAAACCCTGTTAAGAGGACAAAATGTCTTCTTATTTTTAGTCCCCATGAGGAAAACTGCTTACAATGATAATTATATTTTTTTGAAAATGTAAAAATGCAGAGTGCAAATGCAGAGTACTGTAGGATGGTTATGGTATTTATGTGTACAGTATGAAAATAATTATGTCTATGGAAAGTCTTTACTGAAATGTCTTTGCTGAATTAAAGTAAAAAGTAAAAGTAATTTAACTGTGGTTTATGACGATAATATAATTTGTTTAAAAAATATGTAATACCAATCTATACACACAAACACAGATATGATGTGTCATCATTCTATTAAAAACAAACTCATGCAAACACATACAACTTTATTCACACTCACTCTCTCTCTCACATGCACATACAAACATACGCACACACAAACACAAACTCACACACACACACACACACAAACTCACACAAACACACACACACTGTTGTTTTGTCTGCTGTTCTGAATTGTACAGTCTACACCAGCGCTTGTTTTGCCATTAAGCGTGTTTGAGGTGTAAAGGCGATGTATAGAGCCAGTCATAGCGTGTGTGCTGATTGAGGAGGCTTTAGGAGAAGGTAGAGGGAAATGAAACTGCCCTCTGGATGGTTTCTGCATAGCTGTGTGTTCATTTATACGTTTAGAATCATGTTGTGCATTTGGGCTTTTATCAGTATCTCTATGTGTGTGTGTGTTCTGTGTAGGTGTACGTCTTTCAGGTGTCAATGAAGTGTTTCTACGCTCTGAAGGAAAAAAGAGTCTCTGCCATCCATGTTGACACTGGAAATGCTGTGACAGTAAGTGCAGTTATAGTACAGATTGTTCTTTGGTGTCAGAAGATAAAGCATTTGTAATGTTGTTGTTTAATAAATTATAAATATACAATCCCAAGCCACTACCCAATCCCTTCCGATCTTCTTTTAATAGTTTATACCATCGTGATCAAATAAAACAAATCGGCATTTGTTGTCTTTTTGACTAACAGGTGAAGCTTCCTTCTTATGATGAGGCTCTCAAAATGAAAGCAGAAGACACACCCCCGACCTATCAAGAGCCCTAAAATTATACGCATTCGTATTTCCTGCATGGCTTTATGACGCAAAAAAAGATAAACCACAATAAGCACAAATATTCACACACATGCTAACAACCAGATACAGCACATAAACACACGTCTACGCTTGTTTTCCTGCTTTCACACAATAAAGGTAATTAATGAGTAATTAATGTGTTTCTGATTATTGTGTCCTCACCGGTTCACGGTGAAGGAAGACAGTTTTAACAATATCTGTTGTGGTTTAAATGCACTGCAGAAAAATTACCAAACCATTATAACATCAAAATACATTTACTTAGAGGAAAAATGACAAGATATTAAGTCTTGTTTCCTGAAAAAACATTCAGAATTAAGCGAGTTTGTGCTTTAGACAAGATAACATATCTGCCAGCGGGGTCAGAAAGTTAATCTTGTTTTCCTTTGAATTATGTTTATTTTTATGATCTCACTGACACTTGTCTAAAGGATAAACTCGCTTGATTTTGATCATTTCTTTCCGTAACCAAGACTTAAGTCATTTTTGTTAGTCATCATCTTGATTTAAGAATGTTTAGATATTTGTAATGGAAGACAAGACAAAAATACTAAGAAAATCATTTTTGCAGTTTATTTTCGGTTCATTATTGTCTGGTCATCATGAGTCAGAAACTAGTGACATCTGGGGGATTTTATGATTATGAGATAGTAACTAATGTGAAGCGGGGTTTTTTTCTGCTGTATGTGTGCAGGGAATATTTAATTCCTATTATCAAATATATGAATTGCTTGATATAATATTATAAAATGCAAAAAAAAAAAAAAAAAAAACATTTCACATCGTGATCAATGTGGTTTAAATGCACTGAAAAAAGTGGTGCCAAATGCTTGTTTTCCAGTAAAAATACCAAAAAAATTATAACATCAAAATACATTTCACTTAAAGGAGTAGTTCACTTTAAAAAAAACTTTTGCTGATAATTTACTCACCCCAATGTCATCCATGCTATCCACGTCTTTCTTTCTTCAGTCGAAAAGAAAAAAAGGTTTTTGATGAAAACATTCCAGGATTTTTCTCCATGTAATGGACTTCAATGGGAACCAAACGGTTCAAGGTCCAAAAGACAATTTCAGTACAAACTGCAAACTGTTGAAAGGGCTTTAAACAATTTCAGACGATGAATAAGGGTCTTATCAAGCGAAACGATCGTTCATTTAAAAAATAAATAACAAAGTTTAAGTTTTACAAGCTCAAATGGCGTTCTGTGATGCACGTTCGTGATTCTCCTGTTCGAACTCGTTCATCAAAATGAATGAATCTTCTAATTACTGAGTTAATTCATTTATTTCGTTGGTTGAATGAACCAAATGACTCGAAAAAAGATTTGTTCATTTTGATGAACAAGTTCAAATAGAAGAGTCACGAACGTGCATCACAGAACAGAGCAAGGCGACCATTTGTGCTTATAAAAATTTAAAAAAAAAATTAAATGAGCGATCGTTTCGCTTAATAAGACCCTTATTCATCGTCTGGAATCGTTTAAAGCCCTTTCAACAGTTTTTAGTTTGCACTCAAACTGTCTTTTGGACCTTGAACCGTTTGGACCCTATTGAAGTCCATTATATGGAGAAAAATCCTGGAATGTTTTCATCAAAAACCTTAATTCATTTTCAACTGAAGAAATGACTACATGGATATCTTGGATGACATGGGGGTGAGTAAATTATCAGCAAAAGTTTTTTTAAAGGTGAACTACTCCTTTAAGAGGCAAAATGATGAAATATATGAATTGCTTGATATAATGTTATAAATAAATAAATTACATTTAAAAAGATATTCAGCTTAAAAAACAGTTATTTCAAATTGTAATAATAGTTCACAATATTACTGTTTTTTACTGCATTTTTCATCCAACGAATGCAGTCTTGGTGAGTAGAAGAGGCTTTTTTTTTTAAAAAACGTCAAAAAATCGTACCGACTCATGACTTTTGAACAGTAATGTAAATAAAAGTTTTCAAAATATTTATTAATAATACAAAATTTTTTAAATGGTTCACAGTGTTATATATACTTTAGTTTACACTTAATTTGGTCAATAGCGAATCATTTCTTTAAAAAGAATTATAAAGTGACTTTATACTTCTGTTTTCCAGTAAGCTGTACTGTGGCACAGAAGGTGCAAGAAATAAGGAAACTTTAATGTTCTTGTCGAAGTCACTGGCACACTTCAGGTACGTAGGGCTTTTTCCGGCAGGTTGGCGATAGATGGATGGATGGATGGAAGCAGGAGGCAGAGAGAAACAGTGTGTGTTCACAAACCTTAATGGCTGTGTTATGCAATATATAAACAAACACACACACTCCATTTACATAGACAAACAGGACTACCGGGGAATTATTTTCTGAGTGTTCCTGAGTACTTCGCAGGCAGCTTTCCCTTATGTCATTCAAAACTCATTTATTCTCTGGAACAAAAACTAAAAACGATATGTTTAAGCTGCTTTCTTCTGAAATGGTTTATTGGATGGTGGCTAGGCAAAAGAAACCCATAAAAGCTGTCAACAACTGGTGCTATGAAATTCAGGTCTTCTCAAACCATCCAATATCTGACTGAAATTAAGTCATTGTTCACCATAAATCTAGCTTGATTGTTGTGGTCACTATTAATTTTCATTTCCTTTAGAGGTTCAGAAAGACACGTTCCAGTAAATAATGAATAAATTACGTCAAGTCAACACGAAACAGAAATTGCGATAGCCTTCTCCTCCTATTGTAATGTATATTGAGTGAAACGGCTTCTCAAACAAGAACAAATGTAGGGGGCGGGACTTGATTTTGTCCGTGGGGAATTGATTGATTGCTATTGGTCGATCCTTGTCTGACTGACAGGTTGCCCCGCCCTCTTTGTGCAAAAGGGAGTGGAAGTTATTTTGATTAAAGAATAAAGATTACGAGGCACATTCATTAAAAAATAAATAAATAAATGATGCGCACAGATAAATAATTTATAATAAATACTGAAATATCTCATAATACACAACTACATGTTGCATGTGGTCAGCACCTCTAATTAAAACCTTTTAGAAATGGCATTTCACACTCAATATTATTAAATTTGGTCTCAGACATGCGTGCTCACGTGCAATACTGGTATTTCCCAGCAGGCACACTAGACACGACATGGTGTGTATAGTAGAAAAACACAGACATACACGTACACACAGTCTGAACAGGGCAGTCTGTGTTGGATCAGGAACGGAGGCTTCCCACATAATTCCTGTGCATAAATTCCTGCGTGTGTGAGATTAATTTGAGAGGAAAAGTTCCCAGAAAAGACAGATTCATCTTAATGTTTATTTGAGTTCAACCTCAAGTTAGAGACCCCTCCTAGGGCTCCGAATGAACCCGGTTTCTCTTATACAAACACATACACAGATCAAGGTGTGTTTGTCTTTCCTACCCAAACTCTAGGTTTTTCGGGACAGGTATCCCCCTCCTCCCAAAACGGCTCGTCCACCTCGGGGAGACGGATTTGAGGGCGGGTCTCCAAAATTAAGTGTGTATCTGTGAATATGTGTGTGTTGATAACCTGCATGTTTCTCTCACTGTGAATCAGTCTGTCTCTGGTAGTCGAGCAGGTCATTAGGACTCACGCCGCATTACAGTATGACGTTGCCGGGGTTTGTGATGCTGCTATGCATCCTGGGAGCTCAAGCCACCGTGGATCTGAGAAATGCTGCTGCTATGGGTAAGAAAAGAGCATCATTAACACATCCATCAATGTCATTCATTTATCACTGGTGCCAACAGGCTTAATGTTTTAGTAGGAGTAGTTCACTTAAAAAAAAAAAAACTTTTGCTGATAATTTACTCACTCCCATGTCATCCAAGATGTCCATGTCTTTCTTTTCTCAGTTAAAAAGAAATTAAGGGTTTTTGATGAAAACATTCAGGATTTTCTCCATATAATGGACTTCAATGGGAACCAAACGGTTCAAGAGTTTCAGTGCAGCTTCAAAGGGCTTTAAACGAAACCAGACGATGAATAAGGGTCTTATCTAGGACCATTCGAGTCATGACTCGAAAAAAGATTCGTTCATTTTGATGAACGAGTTTGAACTAGAGAGTCACGAACGCGCATCAGAGCAAGGTGAGCATTTGTGCTTATAAAACTTAAACTTTTGTATTTATTTTTTAAATGACCGATGGTTTCGCTAGCTAAGACCCTTATTCATCGTCTGGTGTTGTTTAAAGCCCTTTGAAGCTGCACTGAAACTGTCATTTGGACCTTGAACCGTTTGGACCCCAGTAAAGTCCATTATATGTAGAAAATCCTGGAATGTTTTCATCAAAAACCTTAATTTCTTTTCGATTGAAGAAAGAAAGACATGGACATCTTGTATGAAATGGGGGTGAGGAAATTATCAGCAAAAGTTTTTTTTAAAAGTGAACTACTCCTTTAAATCAAGGCACATTTGCTTGAGAAGCAAAATGACTCTAGATGTTAAGTCTTACACTCTTGTGTAAGACTTAAGACTCTTGTTAAGTCTTACACTCTTCTGTAAGACTGGCTTACACTCTTGTAAGCCAGAATAATAAAAGAAATATCTGCTAAAAATAAACTTACAGTAATTCAAATGGAATACAAGATTATTTTTCTAATCTTAATCTTATTTTAAGCACAGTTTTTCAGTAAACAAGACTTAACATATAGTTATTTTGCTCAGCATTGACTTTTTTGCTAGTTTTGCTGGTTCAAGTGTGGACAAAGCATTATCACATCTGTAGAAAGACTGAGGTGGTAAAGGTGTTTAAATTCACTATATTCACCTATATTTTTGTTTTTAATTTTCGCAAATTACCTTTAAAGAGCATGTTCTAAAGTCTGTACCTCCTCCAGTGCTTTTCTGTGTTTTAAAGCTGCATGTGCCTGGTATTTAAATATTACATTAGTTTAATTTTCGCAGGTCTAGGTGTTAAAAACTAAGAGAGATGCTTCAATCAAGTAGGTAATTAGGGTTGTGTTTCCAGTGGTTGTACACAACTTGTATGTCCTCAAGGAAAATGTGTTTTTAAGGTTTCAAATGTCTACATTTGTACACAAAGAGGGCCTGTGCGTGAGTGTGTGTGTGTAAATCCGTGCATGCATGCATACCTGAGGCTGAATGTATAATCAATGGGAGTTATTATGAGAACAGCAAACACTGTATACATTTATTGAGCTACACGCAGCCTGTCTGGCTTTTCACTCTCACTTTTTTTCCCACACCCCAATTTGTACACTGTTTAACAGTTTTTTTTTTAAATAAATGCAGGAGAGTTTAATCACTTCCATGATTTAAAGTCCCCATGTGCTGAAAATCAAGCTTTTAATGTTGTTTATATGTCTATGTGGTGTTTTTAATGTGCTTTAAGACAAACTGTGTGCAAATTCATAAGGTAACACCATTGTTATAGTAGTTTACCACAGTATTTTCTCCTTAAAACTGAACCAAAGACAGTCTCAAAAAAAAAATCACTGGTGTTTCTGACGTCACAAACAACCTTGTAACCAATCAGATCAACGTGTGATCGTCAACGAGTGAATCTCGGAGCTGTATGAGTGAGTGGAGGCGGGGCTCATTTGCATATTAATCGAACCGCATATACTAAAATGAGTGGTGTAGAATTACATTCAAACTATTTTAAGGCATTAAGAAATATATATTTTCAAGGACAAAACTTTGAAATATGTCATTTTGGTGATCAAAGATGAGTTTTAAGGGATAAAATGATTGACAGGGTGACTTTAATATTTAGATTGTATGATTCAATTGGGTATGTAACCAGTGAGGTCGTACTGGGAATAATATCTCCACATCACATGCATGCATCATGTTAATGTCAAATGATTCTCTCTCAGTGTTTAATGATCAAGAATGAAGTAAATGTGCATAAATGTGTGTAATCTGTTCGGAGTTTCTCTGTTGTCGTGAATAAACCTTCATTACATCAGGAGGGGTGTCACTGATGCTGCACAGCTGAGGAAAGATTTTTAGCATATTGAACACTTCAGAAGTGTTAAGGCAGTTATAGTGTATTCTTAGACGGGATGCCGTCCCCACAGGTTAGACCTTTAATTTCTTCTAAAATTACCTCAAGTTAGATCAGTTTGAAAAAATGCCTCAGGTGCTTTATATATAGAACATTTTAGGGGTTCCCATCATGGATATAGATTTGAATCATTTAGTTTTAATTAATTTGATGAAATTTTGTGAATTAAACGGCTCATAAACATACTTTATCACAAGAAAAAAAGAAAAAAACTTACACATTTAGATATTATGCAATCATTTAAGACATTTCCCCTTATATAGAACATTTCAAATTGTGTCAAGAACCCTATAGGGTTCTATATAGAAACCCATTGAGGCTTTTTTTTTTTTACCATCATCAATAAATACCAAAATGTGACTAATTAAATCATTTATGTCTGGCCTGTCTGGGGTCTAAACATATTGAATTCAATCGATCTCACATATTTACATCCTCTGTTCTTTCACTCTTTCCAGCTGCAGGCTTGTGTAACACAAAGCCCACTGATGTAGTGTTCATCATCGACAGCTCTCGAAGTGTCCGGCCGGCTGAGTTTGAGCAGGTCAAGGTCTTCCTGACCAAAGTGATCGACGGTTTGAACGTCGGAGCTGATGCTACTCGCGTGGGTGTCGTGAACTACGCCAGTCGGGTGAAGAATGAGGTCTCTCTGAAGTCCCACAAAACCAAGGCTGCGCTTGTCAAGGCCGTGTCCAAGATCGAGCCACTGTCCTCCGGGACCATGACAGGCCTGGCCATCCAGTTCGCCATGAACGTGGCCTTCAGCGAAGCCGAGGGAGCGCGCAAATCCCCCGACATCAGCAAGGTCAGAGTCCTACACGCTTATAAATATTGGCATCTGGTTCCATGAAGAACCTTTGACATCAATGGAAACTTTCAAATGCACAAAAGGTACTTTATGTTTGAAAAAAAGAAAAAAAAGTTTAACAACTTTTCACTAAGGGTGCTTTAAAGGCAGGGTAGGCAGTTCTAAAATACTTTTCCCAAATTAGTTTAAACTGTATATACCAATACGCTGATTTCACACTGCCGCCAATTTGTAATGGCTCCAGTGGGAAGAAAATTGGAAGTGTCACCTTTAATCATAGGAGAGTCACGAATGCGATGGTCTATATAGTCTTCATAAGACTATTTACAGTAATTTAGAAATTAAAAATGATGTTTTATGTATAATTCAGAACGTAAAAAAGAAGCAGGAAAAAACTATATACAAATCCTATGTTGGACATTAACATCCAATTGTGTAAATTGCCGCAGCAGCTTCAAGATTTCATAATAATTCGTAAAATCAGCGTATACATATCGAAATGTAAGTACTCTGAAAAGGAGACTATAAAAATCGAGTGTCTGTAGTCCTCTCAGGGCTGCAATAAACACAGCTATTCTGTCCATTCGGAACGAATGCAATGATTGGCTGGGCGACTGTCACTCTCCCTCGCTACCATGGTTTCCACCCCTGCTGCTGCAGGAGCCGCCCACATGCGCGCGCTCGCTCATTTCAAAAGAGGAGAGGCACGGCCGAAAGCTAGTCTCACAATTATGGCAGAGAAAGAGCAGTCAAAATTCCCAGTACCACCTGCATATACAATCAGCGCAGACAAACTATGGTGATGTCACTCCATGCACTGCGTTGGTGAGCGGTCGGCATCACGTGTTCATGTGTTTTGGGGGCGTGGCTTTGGAAGGGGCCCAGAAGGGAGGGGGTGGGAGTTTCTCTTTCAAAATCCAGCAGTTCTCTGCTAGTTTCTCAAACTTACCTACCATGCCTTTAACATTAGGCTGTGTTTGAAATTGTCCCCATACCATCATTTACTATTCCCTACACATTAGTCCACTAATATACTCCACTTGAAGAGTCAATGAAAACGAGTTCGGACAATGAGTGTGCAGGAAGGGCTGCCGCTTCTGCATAGTTTGTTTTTTTCCGTTTATTAATCATTTTAAACGTTGCAAACTGGCAGCTTCATTAGTAATGAAACGATTTATCTTGAACTCTGTCATGGAAATTGTATAAATCTTAATTGAACAATTTAATAATCCTGTAAAAAGGAATTTATAACAGTATAATACTACGCTGTAGCCACATTGGACCAGCGGTTTGGAAAATGAATGTATGGATGATTCAGCTGCAGTGCCACCTTCTGGTGAGACATGGTAATTCATTCGGCACTACCCTTACAGAGCATTATGGGTTTTCTCTAGCTGTTGAGCATACATCAGTTGTACACTCGTTATTGCAGTGCATTGTGGGATGGAAAAAGTGCACTTGAAAACTTTCGCTATGGTTTCGAACACCACTACAAACGACTGTCCTCTCAAGTAGTGCCCTGTTTAAGGGTATAGGGGCGATTTCGGACAGCACACCTATGTTCGACTGAAGTCAGTTTGGTTTTCCAAACACTGTTTTCCGAACTCGGTTCCGTTTGCTGCTTATATGAATGTAATCGTACTAAATCATGGAAGTGAACCGCTGTGTGTGTTCTCACTGAGTTCTCACTCTTTATCTCAACTTCAACAGAAATGAACTCTCACGTTCTTTAGAACATTTGCAACGCATTCACAGCCGATACGTGCCGCTACGTGCTGATTGGAAACAGAACCAAGAGTTAATAAAAAATGTCTGAAAACAAAACAGGGTTCACAAACAATATGTTCACCATGGTCCATTTAGGTACATAATAACAAGTATGACCTATCTATAAAATCTTAGTAAGATATGTCAACATTTGAACCACTTATTTTTCCCCACATTTGTATCGTTAGGCCTACTTTCTGCAAAAAAAATAAAAATAATGTGAAAAAATGAGTGTAGTAATCTCATAAAACCCCCATATTGGGATCATTAACATCATTAAGCCTCTTTGACAACATGCATCTTGCATTACGTAATCCTCAATGGATGAATTAGGCCCAGATGACCATCTGAATCTACTATTATGTAAGGATCTCTCCAGTTTTAGATCATTTGATTAAAAAAACTGCATTGATAAACATTTGCAGGTGGCAATTATTGTGACTGATGGCAGACCGCAGGACAACATCCGTGAAATTGCAGCAAAGGCGCGTGAGGCCGGCATTGAGATATTTGCCATCGGAGTGGGCCGTGTGGAACTGACCACGCTCAGGCAAATGGCCAGCGAGCCTCTGGATGATCACGTGGACTACGTGGAGAGCTACAGCCTCATTGAGAAGCTCACCAAGAAGTTCCAGGAGGCCTTCTGTGGTAAGTGAGAGGACGAGGGGAAGGGAATAGAGGTCTGGAGACTGTCCTCACCATGGCCAGCGATAGTAAAGGTGTTTATACGAGGGCATGTTATCATTAATCTCACTCCAGAAGAAGATCTCCACCCTGTGCTTGATGCTCCACTGCACTCGGCTCTCCGGGCGAGGAAGTAAAAGCATGTGTATTCATCACTGATGTGATCGTAGTTGCTGCAGTGCAGTGGTTCTCAGCTTGGTGATACACTGGGAAAAAGACTTCTTACTCAGTATTTGTCTTGTTTTCCAGTACAAATATACAGACCTTTTAAATCAAGATATGTTTATTCGATAGGCAAGATGACATAAGAAATGAAGGGCCAGATTTACTAAACAGGGCAAATTAACGTGAAACAACAATAGAATAAAAGCACTCAAAAGTTCTGTGGATGACAATGTGCTCAGCTCATTTACATAATGACCAACACTATCTACCAAGCGCAAAATCGATTAAGACGCAACATGGCATCATGATGACTTTTGCGTAAACATACAGTACACGCTACTTTCAAGTCAAGTGGCGTGTTATCTATACACATTTTGAGCAATCCGCGTGTATGCGTGTATGTCTACGCCGTTAAATGTCCGAGTGATTCGGCGTGTATGTACACGCCGTTAAATGTCCGAGCGAAACAAAGCAAAATGTAGATCTACATCTGGGGAGCGATATTTTTTTTCCTAGGATGGTAGGAGAAGACTCATAAATACTAATAACCCCAATGACGGGTAGTTTTAGGGACGGGGTTGGGGTAGGTCCTATATTTATGTATCCAGCAATGTGACGTTAAGTCAACGGCGTTCATAAACACGCTAAAAAGCGATTATGCGTATTGATAGCACGCCAAAATTGGAAATACTAATTGGCGTGTCATACATACACCATTTTAATGAGATTTAATGCTTTTTTGGGCATTCCCAGATAGCACAAGGCTATTTGATGTGCTATTTACATCTGGAAGACCATAGTATCATAGTAGTCATAGTAGTTCCTGTCAGATGTCAAATAGACGACGTTTATAATATGTCAGTTTAACATGCATTCTAAATCATTACATCTTAGAGACATCTTCTAAACGTCTATTTGACATCTGCAGGAAATGTCCTATAGACGTCTTGCAGATGAGCAAACACTCTTAAAAATACGTCTTCCAGATGTAAATAGCACATCAAATAGCCTTGTGCTGAAAATACCAGTAAACTGACTACATGTCTTTAGTAAATCCTGACAATATTTTTTTAGTCTTGTTTACTGAAAAACTGTACAACATGAAGTGACTAAACATCCATCAGTGAAGTAGGATAAAATGTTAGGTTTTGTTTTGTTTCACTGGCAGATTTTTTAAAATTTATTTTAGGCATAAATTCTTCTTTTTGATTACATTTTCATAAAACAAGACATTAAGTCATTTTGCTTCTCAAGTAAAGGCATCTTGATTCAAGAAGTTTTTATTTTTGTGATGAAAAAACAAGACTTTGCTGTGTATGTGACATTTGAGAATTTTCAAATTAGACAATTTCGCAATTTAAAAGGTTGAGAACCAATGCGGTAGAAAGTCAGAGAAACAGCCACCTGAGACAAACCACATTGAGACCTCAGGTGCCTGAGTCTCTGACATATTTCAGTGTGTTTTAAAGATTTGCTGTTCGTTTCAAGTGCAGCAGATTGTTAAAACGCATTGATTTTCTTGAGTTCCCACTTTCACATAGAGTAATTCTCTCCTCGCTAACCCTTCCTTCCCCCACCCGGTGTGTGTGTGTGTGTTACATTCATGGTAGCGGACCTATGCGCGACAAGCGATCATGACTGTGAGCACATTTGCATCAGCACACCCGGATCTTTCAAGTGCGCCTGCAGAGATGGTCACACACTCACGGGCGACGGCCGAACATGCAGCGGTGAGTATGTGTGAATGTTGGGTAAAAGTCAAACAATTTGCAAAAGACTTGTGCAGATTTTGATGTACTATAAAACCCCTTAAGAGACATTTACTAACCAACACAAACTCTAAATGGACAAATCATGTGACTCAGTTATGGTTTTAAGCTTGTTAATGTGACCCCACCCCCGGCCCAAATATGGCAAAATCTTTGTCTTTTAAAATATAACACTTCTATATATTTTCATATATTATTATTCATGTGTTAAAAATCTTCGCATTCGTGCTCTTCGGATAAGAGATCTTAAGAAACATATAAGGCCAATGCACTCGAGAATTAATAAAAAAGCTTTAAATAAATTTAATTTCATTTTAAATACATTTTCTTAATTCTCAGGACCCATTAATTATGTGTGAGAAAAGAAATTATAAAATATTATTATAAAAAAAAATATCCAAAAATATAGAATTGTCGCTATACTGAGTTTTGGGAAATATCTGGAAAAAATTTACTTTGTTTTAAGTTTATATCTTTTTATGCCCACTAGTAAGGTTAGATGTGTAAACATTAGAGAAACTATGTCGCAAGGAAGATTTTTACAAAAATTAGGGATGCACGATATATCGGCCACCATATGAATATCGGCCGATTTACGAAATTTTTTAAATGGTATCGTTATCAGCAGGACATTTGGATAATATATTATATTAAAGCATTATTTGCCTCATGGTTTTAAATTTCTTGAAATATGATTGAAATCACTTCAAAAAGGAAAATACAGTTAAGCACAACATGCAGAAGTAATACAAAGTGTAATATGCCACGCCTGTCATATAAGCAAGATAAAATTATAATGAGAACATTTTAATTATGTGCTTGTTTTAGGCTCTAAAAAAATATATATAAATTTGGATTTAGATTTATTGGCCAATATATCGGTTATCAGCTTTCAAATATAAGGAATAATCGGTTATCGGTATCGAAAAAAATGTTCATAACAGTACATCCCTAAAAAATATATGCAGATTAATTTTATTTTTTTTTATTGTTGAAATCTAGGGCCGTCAATAGTATAATCACTATTAATCACATGCCTCCCCTCTATAGAAAAGAGAAACAAAATGAAATGGTAATAATAAATAAATAAATCTTATAATAAATATTTATATATAAACTTTGAGAGTCCTACATTTATTTACTACATTTTGGTAAAAAAAAAAAAAAAGAAGAAATATTTTTCTGTTCCCTTGTTCCCCTGTTTAGTTTGGAAATCCTATCCACCAAACACTTTATCTCTGTTATCTCAGCTTGCAGTAACGCTGCAGATGTGGTCTTCTTGATCGATGGGTCCAAGAGCGTGAGACCAGAGAACTTCGAGCTGGTCAAGAAATGGATCAACCTGATCATCGACAAACTGGACGTGTCAGAAACCAACACTCACGTGGGACTGGTGCAGTATTCCAGCTCTGTGAAGCAGGAGTTTCCTCTGGGACGCTACAACAACAAAAAGGCCCTTAAAGAAGCCGTAAAAAAGATGGGTTATATGGAGAGGGGAACCATGACTGGACAGGCCATCAATTTCCTGGTGGACAACAGCTTTACTCCTAGCCAGGGCGCCAGACCTGGAGTGCCAAAGGTCGGTATTGTCTTCACTGACGGCAGGTCGCAAGACTACATTGGAGACGCCGCCAAGAAGGCCAAGGAGAACGGTTAGGGGGGGAAAACACACACACAGAAATGCAATGTAAAGTGTATGAGTGTTTTTACAGTGCACTGTGTGCGTGTTTAGGCTTTGAAATGTTTGCTGTGGGCGTTGGCAATGCTGTCGAGGACGAGCTGAGAGAGATCGCCTCTATCCCTGTCGCTGACCATTACTTCTACACGGCAGACTTCAAAACCATGAACCAAATTGCCAAGAAGCTGCAAATCAATGTTTGTCAAGGTAAGTAAAACCACAAAAAATAAGCATTGAAATCAATTGAATATTTCTTTTGAAATTTTGCTGTCCTGTTACTTACAGTTGAAGATCCCTGTGAATGTAATTCCCTTGTCAAGTTCCAGAAAAAGGTGGAGGAGGCACTACAGGCATTAACAAAGAAATATATCCTTTCCTAAACAGAGTTCAGAGCTCAATTCCACATCTGCCATGCTGAAAATATTCACTAAACAAATTCCTATTACGCTTAATATTCAATATTGACTTACAAAATGCTACTGAATGCTTATGTACATTAGCTGAATGTGTCATCTCTATGTTTTTAGGTAAGATGTGCCTTTTTAAGAAGGTTTTGGACTCGCTGTATGATAATTAAAATCAAAAGAAATTAGTGATGCATGATAAAGTGGTTCCATATTGGGTAATGGCAGATATAAGGTTTATAGAATATATACAGGCCGATATTGAAAATGTTATTGTGCATGCTCATTTTCAGCTATTTGTACTTTTTCCTCAAAATAATAATTCTATAAAACAAATAATTAACTAAATTAATTACAAAATAAATAAAAAATTCTATTGTAAACTATAAAAATAATAAAAAAAATATACTACAAAAATAAAATATACATCATATTTAGCAAACATATTTGAATTGTTCAGACAAAATATTATATAATTGAATATATTGTATTAAAAATGTAATATATAAAATAACAAGTTGTGTATATAAATATAAAACAAGTATATAAAAATATAGTAAATAAAATATCAGTCATTTATCAGCTTACCCGCAATGGCAAGAATTTTGTTATTGTTGCATCTCTAAAAGAAATGTTATAGCCATAAATGCATAAAGCATCAGACATGTTTAGAGCTGGTTAGGATGGTACTATTGCATCACTTCCTTGACAAAAGCATCACTGGACGCTGTGACGAAAAGGATCACTGCCCTGGAGAACAAGATAGTTTGAGAAGGAGCCAACCTCTAATTCTTACACTAACATCCTTTTCTTTTCTTGTGTAAAATGTCTCCTGTGACCTCTGACCCTGATGCTTTAGATCCACTCCATTTCTTTCTGCCTCTTTGCCTTCATCACTATATTGTCCATGGGGATGGAGCACTGAATAAAAGCGAAAGGAGTCAGTTTTCAAACAACCATCTCCCCCCCTTCAACATAACCCTGTAAGCTTGACTATACAATCTGAGAAGTACAACAAAGGACAATAAAGTCTTCCCTGTGGGGAGGTGGTGTGTCTATTAAATACAGTCTTTCTTAATTCTAGCTTTCTCAAACAAATTCTTTCAGATTCTGCCCCGAAAGTATTATTTTATAAGGAATATATATGTAATGGTAATTTAATATAAGTTTTGACTTGAAATAAATGTGTGAATGCTTGATTATTTTCTCAGATTAAACACTCCATGAAGCACACACACACAGACACAACACACAGACACACACACACACACAGGCAAACATTCACTGACTCTGCAAGTGCTAAACATGCTGCTTGTGATGATTCAATAAAATCCCTTTTTGTGTCTGTGTCTTTGTTTGTTGTGTCCTTGTTTGTGTGTGTGTTGAACAGATGCGTGTTAGGCTTGATCACTTCAATACAAGGTTTACATAAGAGAAAATATTCTGTGTAATTATTAGGAGCCCCGGGTACAGAGGGATGTAATGTGCAAGCCTAAGGGCCTGTGACTGTGTGCATATATAGCAGCGGTAATGAAAGCTTGTGATGAAGAGGCGTTCTCTCTTACTACAGAGCCTTCATTATCTGATTTTATGTGTAGTGTGTGAATCATGTAATCCGTACGTACTAGATTCGCCATGTTGTCATTGTCACATGACCTACCAACGTCAGTTGCATGACTACCATTCATAAACCCCCTTGGCCTCACGGGATAGTAAAGTGTCAATCATGTCTTAGTTGAAGTAATTAGCCATCTGTGTACGTTTTGCCAACTCTTTTATGAATTCAGTCAATTCAAACATACTCTTTTCACATTTATTTTGCCTTCTGTGTGATTTCACATGGGGGGAAGGGGGTTAAGTGGACTAAATTACTGGAGAAGTAAACAAAAAAGTAACATATGAACTGCGGATGAACTGTGGGCCACTTGCATAAACTTAGCCGCTATGTTAACTTAAGACTGTGTCCAAAAGGGACAGTTCCCCCAAAAATGAAAATAGTAATCACTCACACTTTTAAGTTGTTGAAAACATGTATGAATTTCTTTACTTCTGTTGAAAACAAAAGAAGATTATGTAATGAAACAGTTGCTGACAGTAGCCAATGACCGCAGAATGGTATTTGTTTCCTACTATGGAAGTCAATAGGCTGTCAACTGTCCGATTACCAACAATCTTCAGAAGAAACTCATATAGGTTTGGAACAACATGAGGGTGAGTAAATGATAACAGAATTTTCATTTTTGGGTGAACCATGAGTAATCATTTCTAATTCCAATTAGACCAATCTAGATATGTTAAAAGTTAGGAACAGTATTGATGAAAAAATGTAGATGACTAACTTTTAAAACTAGTCTAAGCAGTTTATGCAACCGCCACTGTTAAACGGGCCACATTAATATCATTAATATTTGTCAATTGAAGGTGACTAAGCTGACATGGGAAACTTATCCATGTTTTTTTGCTTGTCCAAGATGGTCTACCACCTTGGACCAGTTTATTTTTTAACCCCTGGTTTTACAGACAAATCTTAAGGCTAGTCCCAGACTAAAATGCATGTTTGAGCTGTTTTAACTGAAAGCAACTTGCACAAACATGTTTCAAAATATGTCTGTGCCATTGTTTTGCCTCAAGATGAACATCAGTAAAGTTTTATCTAAGGCACGTTTATAAAAGCTACTTAAATGACCTAATTGAACTAAGGCTTAATCCTGGCTTAAACCCTTTCTGTGAAATCTAAAGCTGTCAAATAAATGCTTATTTACAGTAGACCAGCAGGGGCCGGTTGCATTCACATAGCCATAATGTTAAGACTGTGTCTTAAAGTACTAAAATCAAATGAGCAACTAACAGTAGTCAAGTGGAGACAGTCTTTTAGTATCAAATCAGACCAAACTACGTCTCTATAGGCATCTTTACACAGGCGACTTAGCGGCTCTCCTCAGAATTTTGTGATTTTATGTGTTTTAATTTTGTTTCTGTGCTGTGCCGCTTTTTCTGTGAAAAGATGCATGTCACCGACCTAAAACAGTTATGAACAGTTTAAAGAAAAAAGTGATGTCTAACTAACTACCCGGTTACTGCTGAAGCCCGGAGCTCGGATCTCCGTTACCGGCGGGTTGCGTCATGTTGCGCCGGAGAGGTGATGCAAGAGTCCGGCGCTGTGTGTTCACGTACGCCACGCCTCCACCCGGTGCTGTTTCCTGCTTTCCACAACAGACATAATGAAGTCATAGAGCATAAACCCTGCGAGACTCTTCTTCAACAATATTCTGAACAACCTGTGACTTATGAACACCTATCGTCCGATGAAGGTGAGCTGATTAAGCCGCCGGTCTGACCGAGTCACTCTTCTTTAATGTCTTTGTCGGCGTCTAGTGTCTGCATTATAAGTGTCGTGTCGGTCGGCACACTTATAAAGTATATAGTCGATGCTCTGACTAAAAAGTCAAATTGAAACAACGATATCAATTTAGTTAAACAATTGTTCGTTTGAGTGAAACTGTTAAACCGGTCGAATTATTTATGTGCCGGGCTGAATGGGTTTCGTGTCAACTACTCACTGAACCCAGAACCGTTTCCTTTGGACATGACAATTTGGGGGTGTGTACCGTTTGACTGTTGAGGCGAAAAGAAAGCTTAATATAAAACAATGTTTGATAAAACTTATGTGAAATATGTTTAAGACTTGATTGGATGACAGTTTAGTCAATAAGGAACCAAGTCGATTTTAATAAACCGCAGGATGACGCAAAGAACCACTGAGTCGTTCTTTGAAATGAATAGTTTGAATGAACCGATTTTTGCAAATGACTCGCACACATTTAGTCGCTAGTAAGCTTTTTTTTATCACACTGGGCTGCGTTTCCCAAAAGCAACGTAAGCCTAATTTTTTTTATGATTAACTTAAGTTTACGATGCTTTTGGAAAATGCAGTCAAGGAATAATAGCTTGGTGCCAGTTGTATGATAATGCACAAATATCTCTCTGATAAAAGGCTTAAATATTTTCCCAAAACGTTTTAAATGGACAACAGAGAGCCTTATATTTATTACACCTCTATTGTCTCTTTCTTTTTCTCAGGAGGAATCAGACGTACCCCAGGCGTTGCCCTTGGGGCCCAGTGCCTTTATCCCAATTGAAGAGGTGCATGTTGTTGTTGTTGTTGTTGTTTTAACGTTCTTGTTTTTGAGTTTATGCTATTTGTCTTTACCTCCAACAAATTCTGATCTCTGATCGGTTTCCCAAACTGGGGTTTGTGAGGGAATTGCAGGGATTTATTGGGTTTATGAAAAGCCAATAATCAATTTAATCATTAATTAGAACCAAAATAATATTCAAACATATATATTTTATTTGCTTTCCTGCATGCATGACATGACATGAGAGAACCGTGAACATGCACATTAATAAACTTCAATAAAATGTAGTTTTGACCTAAAGTATTTGTCAAAAGTGTAGCGATTTACGAAACACTGCTCACACCGAAGTCACTTTCAAACCAAGCAGCTTTATCTATTGGTCTGGGTGGCAAATTCGAATGACCAACTTGAACATGAGCAAAATCTATTTTGCCCTCAGGCGAAACTCCCCATTGCACAGATTCATTTTGAAATGCCTGTATTTTGCACGTGAAATTTCTCTGAGCAACAGTACATGTGACCGCCCCTTTAGAGGATAGATACAGTATTGTTGTCAGTGTTTAGGGATCACTGAATATCTGTATGTGACAGATTCTGGAGGAAGGGGGCGCACAGGAAGTGATGTCAGAGGCTCCGTTGTCAGAGGGACGTGCCGATCATATCATCATGGCGATGGGACTACATCCCACCTACCTGACCTGTTTCCTGCGCACCCAGCATGCTTTGCTCCAGCTGGATGGTCCACTGCCTTTGTCATGGAGACATTTTATAATCATCTTGGTGAGGAAGGAGGTTTATATTTTTGTGTGATGCCTTTTTAAAAGTTAGATTGCAAGTTTTAAATAGGGATGCGCAATATATAGGCCACCATATAGGTATCGGGCGATATATGTTAATTTTAATAAAATTATATAATAATAAAATTTGGCCGATATATATCAAAGCCGATAAATAAAGGATTAGCTGAGTCACTTCAGATGTGCACTGTTCTCCATGATGGTTTTGAACTGCTTGAAATATGATTGGAATCACTTAAAAATAAAGGAAAATTACAGCTATGTGCTATCATATAGGCTACATATATGATTATAATCAGATCATAATAATTATTTGCTTGGAACATGGCTTTTAATGGTAAAACTTTCGTTTTTGTAATCAGGCTCTTAAAAATTATATGAAAATTTGGATTTAGAATTATCAGGCAATATATCGGTTATTGGCTTTTCAAAGAATTGTTGATTATCAGTATCGGACACAATTTCTATCGGTGCATCCCTACTTTTAAATGAGTATGAGTATGTAAGGAATGAGTATGTAAGGAATGAGTATGTAAGGAATAACTGACGACGAGACGTTGAATTATTAGAAAAATAATGCACACCCAAGGCGGTAATGCATGGAGTGGGTGTTACAATTTGAGTATGCATTATTTTTCAATAATTCAACGGCCTGGATTCATTTATTCCGGTTACCACACCTCAAAATATTGAGAGGATGTGTTTCAAGACATTTGTCAGGTTTTTATCCTTAAACACTGTGTGTAGGACTGATTTGTTACGCATCTTATCCCAAACCTCTGTTGCTAATTTTAAAATGTAATTTTAGAGCTAATAACATAGGCTTAAGCCATTGATAGCATTGATTAATGCAGTTATTAGAGAGAGAGAGAGAGAAAGAGATTAAGTGTGTGTGAATTACCTGAGTCTGTGTGCCTCTCATCATTGTTCGGCAGCAGCGTCTCTACTAATAGCAAACTAAGTTTATCTGCTCCAAGAGCAGTGCTATTATTACATCGCCAGTGAGAAATGTCTTATAGCTTATAAGTTGATTTAGTGCTAAAATCGTAAGAGCAGCGCTTTCAACACATTTCTGTGCGAGTGTGTGTCCCTACTGTGTGTGTGTGCGTTTGAGCTGGAGAGAGTGCTTTCCGTACTTAATAAAATGCAGTTTTGTCGCAAAAAAAATGGAAATAATTTGCCGTTTTTATCCTAGTGTTTACTATATTTATTAGCTTGTTGTAGGCTGTAAGGACTTTGAAATCATTTGGCAAAGTAATATAAAAATGTAATGCGGTCAAGACCTGCCTGGAACTACTTTAGCTGTGCGTTTCCCTGAAAATAATAATTGCACACCGTAGAACATTCGTCAACCAATCAGATTCAAGCATTCAACAGCCCCGTAGTATAAGTGTTTATAATATACTCAACAGT